TAATGGTGATGTGGATCTGTTACCTGGAGAAAGACTTCCCGACCTTGAGTATGCGGACGATATTGTCTTACTGTGCGATAATGCCCAAGGCATGCAATTCGCACTTAATCAGTTGGCAATCAGTGTCCGTAGGTATGGTATGTGCTTTGCACCTTCGAAGTGCAAAAAGTACTTCTACAAGACTGGCAGGATTCCAATCCTGTACTCACCGTGGATGGTGAGCAGATAGAAGTAGTCGAGAAGTTCGTGCATCTGGGTAGCTGCATAAGTGCTGGTGGGGGTGTGAGTGATGAGATCAATGCACGTATAGTGAAAGCCAGAGCGGCTTATGCCAATCTGGGCCACCTTTGGCGCCTTCGTGATGTTAGTCTGGCTGTAAAAGGTCGGATCTACAACGCGTCGGTGAGAGCAGTTTTGCTCTATGCTTGTGGAACCTGGCCTCTCCGAGTTGAGGACGTTAGACGACTCTCTGTGGTCGATCATCGCTGTCTCCGAAGGATTGCTGACATCCAGTGGCAACACCATGTCAGTAATGCAGAGGTTCGGCATCGTGTGTTTGGGCACAGAAATGATAATGCAATCGATGTCACCATCTTGAAACACCGACTTCGGTGGCTTGGACATGTTTTCCGAATGTCATCCCGGAGAATTCCACGTCGTGCATTATTTGCCAACTCTGGGACTGGTTGGAAGAGGTGGAGAGGTGGTCAGTGTATGACATGGTGTCGTGGTATGAAAGAAAGCTGCAGAGGACTGGCTTCTGTCGGTCGTTCACGACTCCCTGGTTGGGGTCTGAGAGATGGTGCTACACAGTGGCTAGAGACGTTATCAGATATGGCTCAGAATAGAAGCCAGTGGCGATCCTGCTGTAACCTTGTTTTACTTTCTTCATAAAAAGTGGTTGTGTCTTCCTTAACTGAAAGATTTCTTCTGATTGTACCTTTCCGTTCGCTCATTACTACCACACTACCTTACACCAACCTCTTCATTATTGTTCTCTTTTTTTACGCTCCTTACCTTTTTTTCTCTTCGAATTCTCATTGTTTTGTGTGGCGCATATATATTGGCGCTCTCTTGTACCAATATTTATGTGTTCTAATAAATAAATAAATAAATCAGTATTCTACTCAATAAATGTGATAGTTGAACGTTCATTTATTAGCCAACAGAATTTACAATTCACAAAATATACCGTATACTGATATAACGAAGATTCACCTACTACACTCCTACTATAAGCGATTTAACATTCCACACTTCTGCAGACATCAGATTCTCTGATAGTTTAGACTAAGCAAAATTAATGAATCTAAGTTCTGAGAGCAAGTATGTACTAACGGCATGCAAAGTATTTGAGAAGTACACGGTTTTAAATGGATAGCCATCAAGTCAAGCATTTCTATACACACATAAAAGAACGAAGGATTTAGTAAGGATTCGCAATGAACATATCTAAACTAACTGTCTCAGAAGCTGCGCCTCGGCGTAAACGATTTTCAAAATGGGTGCTAACAAACCACAAACTAGTTGTAAAATTGTCCGATCCAACAAGTCTCAAATTGACGTATATCTTAAATCTTCAGTCATACAAAGGTTCAATACAGCCTTCCTTCAAGATACTGACAAACTCAATAAATTCAAGATAGCTCTCAACAACAGGTTCCAAGCCTTACAGGATCTACTGAAGGAAGAAGAAACTACTATGGAGGACAACTGGAAAAGTATCAAAGAAGCGTTAACTTCAATGTGTCAAGAGTTTCTGGGCCTAAAGAAGCATCCTCATAAGGAGTGGATCTCTATAGAAACTCTGGACAAGATCACTGGTAAGCGTTTTTTAGCGAGTTAGTTTTCTACGGGATGGGGACGCTAACCCCATGCCCAACCCTCCTCTTTTACCCGGGCTTGGGTCCGGTATTAACTCTGGAAGAGCTACAGGCGGAGTTTGGACAAAATCAAATTGATGTATATTTTTAATCTTCAGTCACATAACGTTTTAGAAGTAGCCTCAATATTAGATCGGTCTCTTCACTGCTCAATGAAGCTCAATGAATGCTTCCACCACACATGTGAACAGAAAATGGTCACCGACTGAACATGTTCGTCAAACTCAACCTCGTCTACTAATTTTTAAGTACATACGTGTTTCCAAAATAACTTTTGACTTCGTTTTCCTGCCTGTACGACTAGCTCTAACAGTCCGAATTTTCATTGTCTTCATCTATACACAGGAGAACGGAAATTTCTTCACGAAATCCAACGAGTTGTCTGCATAAATAATACAGTTGAAAATGTACTACAGTCCATGATTTTGATAGGTGACTAAATATTTGACTTCCTACAGGTTTTCAAGCCAATGTATCATCTATCATCACGCTTCGTTTATTGGTGTCTGTAATGACAGCTTAATCGTAACATCAATGATTGTTTGGTTACATATGTACATATGTACAATATAAAAGTACATGTAAACATTTTGGAATATTACACAACAAACATGAGTACGTGTAGAAATTGCTAGGAATGCAACTATTTACTGCATATTGAAAAGTAGTATAAGACAATACACGAAAGAGTCGATGGAATGTGAGTAAAGACAGAAAACGTAAAATAGACTTAGCAATAATGTCATAATTTATGTCGTAGTTACTTTTAGGTCTACGTAGTTCCTGTTCCCATGTTTGTTTTAGATTGAATGGAACTTGACTGAAGTTAAAGAAAACAATCTGTGTGATAAATCTTCAATCATTAAACTCATATTTCAACAGTCAACAAAATAATTCACCGAAATTCCAAGTTTAATTTCATCATCCAAATATTTCTTTATCGTTAAGAGCAAAATTAAGTTTATTGAACTTAATTTTATTCAATGGTGTGTGAAGTTCACGTGCATTTTAGCCTTCAATTCAATTACCAATGTGGTCTCTGTGGCCAGATCTGATGGTGCCTACGATGAATTCGATTCAGATGACTGATTTGTTAATGAGGTTTTATAAGAACAGTTTCACTCTCTGACCAAAATAATTCTGTGTTGGTTTGTGAGAAAATGGTTCCATATTGCATCAATCTGTGGATGTGACGACTGTTGATCGGAGCTGTGTTGGATGGGGTTGACTTATTGAATGGGGTCAATACAACAATCGTACTGGATTCTGAGTGACCCCAGATCACTTGGATAGAAGTTGGTTGTTGTGTGGCAGATCGTTCACCTGATAGTGATTTTCCGTATTATTTAATATTTATCATCACTCGACCCCGTGTTATGTTTTACCTGCATTTTTTGTGGTTTTGTCATTTCGACGCGTTTGATTGTGGCCTTTCTGTGATTCACTTTGCTCTGTGTGTGCAGTATTATGTCTGTACTAGTCTCTTCGTTGATACCATCTATCTGGTGACTGAATGATAAACACTTCGTCAGCAGTTTCATTACTCTCGATTTGCCTTCACAACTTAACAATAGTGACTGGTGATCACTGTTTCATGATTATTTAGCTACAATTCATCTCGTTTTTCTGTCTGTACGACTAGCTCCAACAATGACCAAAGATTTAACTTCCTACAGGCTTTCAAGCCAATGTATCATCCATCATCACGCTTCGTTTATTGGTGTCTGTAATGACAGCTTAACCGTAGCATCAATGTTTGTTTGGTTACGTATGTTGTTCTGAAGTTGCCGTTCTCACCGTCTCACTGTCCAACTACTCAACTCGTACATGATTGCTTTCTCACCAACAAGGACTATTCAGCTAGCACAGATCTGTTCGGTGTAGATGCTGACAACTTGGAGAGTACGAAGAACAGCAAGAGATTACTGCACTACTGCAATTTCTGTTTTACTTAATGGGTGTGAAGCATTGTGTGAATGTGCAATACATGCGCAGACCACAAATGCTCGATAATTGATTGACTGTATAGTGAGAAATGCGAAGTTCATATTGCGTGAATCTGTGGATTTAATAACAGTTGATCACAGCTGTGTCTAATAGGATAAACTATTTCAATATGGTAAATACAACAATCGTACCGCTCGAACCTCTATTTTGTCTATATTGGTCTCTTCGTTGATACTATCTAACTGATGACAATGATAAACACTTCGTCAGTAGTCTCATTACTCTCGATTTGTCTTCACAACTTAACAATAGTGACTGGTGATCACTGTTTCATTATTATCTAGCCACAATTCATCTAAGGACTTTGGTCATAAACAGGTAGTGACCAAGTATACATGATCGATTCGAGAGAAAATGAGGAGGTGGATTTCAGAAGAGGAGTCAACTGAAGATTTATCTAAGCATTCGGAGTGTCCTTATTATATGATAGAGGAAAGCAAACACAATGAGGAGCCTTATAGTATCGAATCTGAATAATTCGAGTAGAAACACTATTCCGAGTGCAGTGAACCGAAATGGCATTTGTGCTTCGTTGACGATTAGCAGTGTGTTGTCACTTATATTTCAAGATACAAACAATAATTGTTCACTCGGAAATACCAACTGTTGTAATATACCCGCAACAGTCGTATATACTTAGTAATATTGGTGAATGGCAGATTTTCGCATAGAAAATCATTTGAGATTGATCATGTGTATTCACACAAAGTGAATAATTTGTGTTGTCCACGAGATATGCATCGGTTTCAGAAGGAATCATTTGGTGAAGAATGATTGAGAACGATGTTGAAACGGACTAGATGTGTGGTACTTAGTTACGTATAACCTTTCGAGTGAGAGTCACTTTTCTTTCATTCAGTTAATATCAAACTGTAAAGGTAAGTCGATGTGCTGACTTCGATCTCATGTGATGTGGTGAATGTCAACAGAGATCGAGATGTGAACATTTGTGAAAATGACTCTTCCACTCATCTCATTCCCTGATGGAAACTGTTTTCAAGTCGATCAGTTCATCAACAAACAAAATCACATCCCGTCAAATTATTCATGCAATACTCACACCATCTAGTCAACTAACTATTAATCTAACAGAAAACACACACAAACTGTTAACTCTTTGAAAAGAGCAACGCTTTCATTCACTCAAATCAGTGTGTACAAAGGGAAATCATATTGTAAATAACACCAAATTGAAAATCATCACATTCTATTAACTGATTTATTGGTGAATTTGTCTCAATACGATCATCAAAATGAACACCGAATTCTGTCTACACAGTTCACTTGATTAGTCATTCACACCGAGTTATTACATTGTATGTTTAATAGTTCACATGTTTTATTCCAAAACCATTTTCTGTCTTCCCCATTTTGAACAGATTTTGAAGGTTTTTTCAATGTGCAATTTGAATAATAACCTCCAGGAGCCAAATTATCTGTTAATACAGTATATAGAGTGGTTTGTGCGCCATCCCTCGGTGTATTAAGTAATTTGCGGACGAATGGCAGTATAATATTCTAAAATAAATGAGGTGAATAATACATATTACAGTCTGTATATTGATAAATGCTAATGATTTACAAAGTTTTGTTGAAACTATATATATATATAACAGTATAACGATGATTTTTAAACGGACGAAACCTTTTGAAATACCAGCCACCACATAATCAGCATGGACATAAAGTTTAGCCACTGTCATGACGGTAATTCTGCGTGCTAGAACCTTGTAAAACGTTTCTCTCGTGTGCGTTTTTGTGAAGTATCGGATTACCGTTCTCTACCATCGAGGTATCGTCCTTCAAATTCACCAACCTTTGTCATTCAGCAGCTACTTCCTGTTTGGCCATGTTGTGACAATGTTCGAGCTTGCTTAGTATTGTCATTCGGATGTCGGCATTTTCGAGAGAACGCAGGCTACAGACAAATATTAGGCATTTAAACTGGTCTTCTGTTATGAAAGACAACGTGAACCTTTCACATTCTCGTCTCACAATTCCTGCATGATTTATCCAGTCATCTCCTTGTTCTTTCGTTATCTTCAAGCATTGTTAACGAATAATAAATAGAGATGACTGTTCTCCAAAGATCTGAGACAGGGTTTTTATTGTGTAATCAAAACTAAAGGCTCGTGGGTTCTTCAGAAAAATAAGGTTACCGAAGCTCTCATGTTCCGTCATCCTATTTTTTCTTAAAAGCAGTCTGACTTTTGAGGCGTCGTTCAATCTGCAGAGATCAATATGGAACAAATCTTCATATTCCTTGAACCAAGAGTCAAAAGTAACACCTACTATACGATCAAAATTAAATTCATGGATGGCATTATTGACTGAATCAGCATGTGATACTTGCAATTCATCAGAAGCGGGGTTTTTCTGGAACAAGCACATTTTCTGAACCATATCTTCCATGATTCTGATCTGTGACTGTCCAAACAGTTTCTCTTGATGTTCCATATATGCTTCTAGTTGGTCCCAAGATATATTCATTGTGGCTTTCTTGTCGCCAATGACAAGTCTTTTCGATTGAACGTTGCTTTGTTTTATCTGGTCGTCTCTGATTGCTATGTAGGAATCAACCATCACTTATATTTGTAAAGTGAGGAGCCACTGTAATTCCGACGACGTGAAAGTAAGGGCACAAAGACTGGTACAAATGAAAATTTACTAATCACAAAACACGATAACGACGACTCTAGTCGAAAATGCAATCATTTATATATTGATTCATACACTCATTTTGATTAATAATTAGGATGAAATCACATATATGAATAATACTTACAGATATAACAAATCATATGCTACATGTCATGCTCAGCCTAGTTCATGTTAATTTAATACAAGAATATCGTATATATTTGTGTTGTTTGTATGAACAATGATTCCTTTGTACTTATTGACTGCCTGATTTCGAATTCCAAATACAACAAAATGGTTTCTGCTCATCTAGTACTCCTTGCTTAAATTACGTTATTTATAGGATTTTTAGTTTGTACTGTAATTCAATTACTCCTAATTATCATAGTTTTACAGAAGAAAATATCATACGGGAAAACAAAACAAATACTACAATGAGAAACCATCACATTGACTTAAAACGGAATTAATGTTGAACAAAAATCATAATGAGTAAAAGAACGTAATTTTGATATATTCCTCCGATATATCAAATATACATATCCGAAACATACCAAGATATTGTCCTATGTATTTCATTGTTGAGTAACATTAATACCCACTTCATCTAATTACTGGAAATCGATCGTAATGTTCAGATCGACAAACAACTAACCACTTTATTTCAACCAACTTGAAGGTTTATATGTGAACAATCTCATGTTCATCATGGTCGTCATATTAATCAATTTTATCGTAATTTCAAATCGAAGCAGAAATTACGGTAGAAATTAGGTTCACTTGACATAAAATCTCTACATCAGTATGCATATTGCGATTATTTTATAATGAATTTCGCTATTGCACAAAATTAAACACCAACATCAAATGATAAGTAAAAGTATTAGAATATCTCACCATAGGAAAATTTGTCAGATCTCTCATCAATTCAGTTTTGACAGCTCCAGGATGTAAACAGACAGCCACCACACCACTATCTTTCAAACGTTCATTCAATTCAATAGTATGTATCACATTTGCCAATTTCGATACACTATATGCCTTCATTGCATTATAATTTTCCTTACTGTACTGCAAATCAGGCTTTAGAATGCATCCATCTTTATGCAGTGCAGATGACACATTTATTATTCGTGATGGTGCAGCATTCCTCAACAATGGTAACAACAATTCTGTCAATAGAAATGGTCCAAAATAATTCACTCCCATTGTCATTTCAAAACCATCTTCAGTTGTTGTATAGTTCTGTAGTATGAGTCCAGCATTGTTGATGAGAAAATCTATTTTATTGTATTTACTTTTGATTCTGTCAACAAATTCTCTGATTGATGTTAACGAAGCCAGATCAAGTTGTTCAATGATCAACTGGAATAAAATCGAAATATTATGGAAGAAGAAAATTGATGAGAACCTTTCTTAAACACATTGTCTCCACTGTTTCAATAAAATCTGAATATAGTATGGCGGGACAATATACTTCATGCATTTGGTTCCGTTTACGAACTTGAATGAAGGGTGAACAACAATTGAAACAGAATTATATGAAATCATTGTATTCCATAATTCCTCGTCAGCTCCCTACAACCATATATGTAGTGAAGTATATTTATGTATTTATTTATTCTCATTTCGTTTTCTTTCATTAGTGTCGATCATTTCATACTGTATCATATCTTAATGTTATACTTCACTACATATATAATTGTAAGAAACCGACGAGGAACCGTGAAATATAATGAATCTAACTATTATTTTATCCTTATTCGGGTATTATAATATTTGATTTCAAGGATTGAGGAAAGTGAGTTTTCAATGTATTATGACCTGTTAAATACTTGGATGATCGTTGGCTGTATGATATATATTTACACCAATAGAGACAATGTAATGAGTAGATTAGTTCGACAAGTCTATCATTACCAACATGAACAGTTTGATTGGTTTGTCGGCAGGATCGACCAAGAAATGAGAAAAGGAAATTTGTTGAAATATTTTGTGCTTGGAATTCTATATTGTACCAAGAATATAATATTGAATGAAGCCATAATAATAATATTAATAACCGTGTTAACGATGTGTCGGCAAATCAACAGATGCATTCATTCGAAAGTGTTTTCTCAACTGATGAATATGGTGTATAAAATATCACAAAATGTTGCAAATTTAGTTTAGTGTTATTTGCAGACGTAATGGAGTCAGTAGCAATCATGTTTTCTGAAAGACGTTTATGAATATTAGAGTGAGCGTTGCGGTGTTTAATCTGAGGTTAGTATTAAGCAATTGTTGAGTACAAATCGGTTATAAGTGGTTCTCGAGTTGATGACAGTTTGTTATGTAAACCGCCTGCGAACAAAACAATCTCCACAAACACACACTCTAATAACATGCAAATAACTCGAAGAGAATATGACTAATTCAGTATTGGCATACCTGATCCGACTCGATGGGCTTTAAATATGGCTTCATTTGACTACATGCAGTATCTGTTTCGCCACTTTTCTCATTATTCTTACCACACATTTCCAATAGACGTGTTTTAGCTTTGTTGGCTCGTTCAATATTTCTACATGCCATAATGACTGTCGCACCACGATGAGCTAATTCACTGGCTGTATAAAGACCGATTCCAGTGTTACATCCTGTCACGATTGCCATTTCCCCATCCAATCGTTTGTTGATGATACATAATTTTCTCCGTGAACCGACTGTCTCTTTCATTGTGTTTGAATACGGTGGTGTGACTTTGATGTTGAGTCTATGTTTGATATGTGACGATTGAATTGTACACGAATTTAAAGTGAATTGAATGTAATATCTAACCAATCAGATTGATTAAATAATAACAGATATATACTGACCGTATTATTGTGCTTATCTGTGGTACCAGTCGCATATTTTTAAATGAAACTTCTTTCATATAAAATTCGGCTTATTATTATCATTCTTTAGATGAATAATAATAGATTGTGAATTTATGTGTGACCAGATAATTATCTTTATTTAGATTCACAAATTTCTTTAAGGGGTGTCAGGAAAATTCTCAATAAGATTATTTGCAATTCAGTATTCGTCATCAATTTGATTATTTACTGTTGAAACAATTACTACCTGACTGAACGATGTCAACAGGAATGATTCGGATATCATTTTATACGATATACTTAGAATCGATTATTCATCCTTGTTTCGATTACTATATATTAAAGACTTGATTCAACCATCGACACAGTCAGTAAACTGATTTATTTTAAGAAGATAAATATATGCGATATGCTATTTAATTTAGTGGAAGTGGAATAGATAATTCCATATGTTTCTATAGACAAAGATTCGGCTATTTTGAGTATCCTTACAGATTTCGAAATGTACTAGAGATGTACAAGAGCATGTTTTAGTTGATTCGATGTGAGTGAATGGATTACGTGAAATATATATAGCAGCAGTTGAACAAAAATTAATAGCAATTAAGAATAATATCAGTTCAGATCAGTCAGTTAAACTATGTCATGACTTCAAAATAAATGATGCAAATACAAATAGGAAAGAAGAAAATTACAAAAATGATGTAATAGACTGACGATGTAATTACCACGGTTAGGATAGGTTCGCAACTGTGTCCTTCATTATATAATCAATAAATTGCTTGTCACCATGCCTGGTGATCGTGAATCGTCTTTCACATTTTACATTAATTTAAAACATTCATTATATCTTCAATTTCACTAGTCCACCATGATAAATTTCAGTGTGTTTCGTGCTTCTATGATACTAAAGATCTTTTCAATCGTTGTTTATTTCTGACAACTGATTAGAACGACCGGTCTATGATCAAGGCCAGAACCAATGTTGAGATTGAATGTGTCAGGAACATGAGTCCCCTTGAACTTACACATAAACTTACTTGATTTATGCCATGTGGCACGAAACCCCCCACCAGTGTTTCCTATCCATTACTTTTAACCATCTAACTAAAGAAATATACTTCCTTACTTTCTCATTTTGTTCAGAATTCTTGAGGTTCTTCTATGGTTTATATGCACAAATGTTCACGTGCAGTTTATATAAGTTGGTAAACATATTCACTAACATATATCACAGGTTGTCGACTCATTTGGGATTAACCATCCTATGTGTGAGTACATTTCTCGGAATCTTCAGGCAAATCTTGCCACCAGCTGATCAAGTTAAGAATAACAGCAGTATTCCTAATAATTGAGCACTATTCTTTTCTGGAAAACCTGATATCAATGAGACCAACTTCGAAGCATACTTCTTCATATTTTGGGCACAGGAAACAAATTGATAACCAACACCAATGAACTTTTATATCAAGATTCAGTGATTTATGCAAATTTCACACCAATCTTTTTAAAAATGCCTAATAGCAATTCTTAACTATACCATCAAAACTTTATCAAGACTATACTATAGAAATATACATACAACCATAATCATTCATTCAAATTCACTTAAACAGAAACGGATACACATAAAATGACTTCATCATTAATCTAAAATAATTTATCAGTTAAATACTTGTACTTATTTCTACGTCATCGTAGTTCTTGTGAAACAATACAGATTCCGTTTGTATTTAATTTTAGATCAAAGGAGCGGAAGAAATATGAAGTCTCTAATTAATTTAAGTATATTTAACACTGAAAGTACAACAATACAAAACGTTAATTATTAGTATAGAGAAAAATCAGTATCAATGTAGTTGTAAAAATGAAAACAACAGTACTTCTAGAACAGTTAGTAGTTTGTGGCCTGTTAATTTGACTCCGATATGGATGAACGTATGAATATGCTACAAATATAAATCTGACATTTAACTCCGTCTATTATTATAGCCTTACCCTGTTTGTGTGATGGCGGTAATAAGAAGCCAATTATTGGTTGCGTTAGATGAATTCATTCTAAGCACTCGTTGATCCAGATAGACATTCATAATGAAAAGTAGGAAAGGTAAGTGTGTCAACTCCCTTTAATAAAGCGTGACTCAATATTTATAGCAAGACAAAAATAAGCTACAGACATGTGATGGGTAGGATAAGCAACACACACACGTACGCTCATATAAAAGCAGTCAAGTTTTGTGAGAGAATAATTGGCCAGGTCAGAGTGTGACTCAAGATGGACGAATAAACTGGACATTCCGCAAGTTAAAATAACCCGTTTTTAGCTTGACATGGTACTTGACAGTACAGTTGTATTATATATAATATTTATTAAGTGACATGTCAGCGTGATCAAGGTCAACAAATAATAATAATTCGTACGGAATCCGACCTGTTCATCTTGAAATTATGTGTTTAACGAATCTTTGGTTCGGTTTGACAACATTCTGTTGAAAACATTTTCTGGTACTGATAGTAGTGTGCTGCTTCTGCAGTTTTCACACCTGCTTAGATCTACTTCCTTGAGATCTCGATTAAATATCATTTTTCTCAGCCTGTTGGACTTGATTCTCTTCACAGATCGTCCTAAATAGAACATTGGACATGCTTGCAGTTACTTCTATGTCTGACTTCAATGCTCCGTCTGATATGTTGTCAGGTCCAACTGATTTTTCACACTTGATTTGTCTGGCGTTCATCCTGATTTCTTCGATTGTAGGTGGAGTGAGATCTATAGGAAGGTCTGTATGTGTGTTGCATCGATGTACAGTGTGTTCTATGAGCTGATCTGTTGAAGAGCTCTCCAAATTGTTCAATCCACCTGTTCCACCATTCTTGAACCGCACTGATTGGCTTGCCTTCTTCGTCCTCGATTGGTTGTTATGGTTTACTATATTACCCTACCAGTTTATTCGTTATATCATATACTCTTCTGATATATCCTTTTGTTGCAGCTTTGTCCACTGCCGTTTCTAGGTCTTCCACGTATTTCTGTTTGTCAAGTCTCATGCTCATCTTCACTTGTTTGTTTGCTTCTGCGTATTTGGTCTGTACCTTGGATTTCTCTGTTCCTGTTCTACTGTTGTTAATTGCTGTCTTTTTGTTCTTTCTTTCTTGAATCCCGATCAGGTTCTCGATCTGAAGTTATATAGGCCTCTCTCTCTCTTAGTTCTCACGTCTTCCATTGATCTGAATTTGTTAGAGATGCAAAATGATTGATCTGGTTCGCCGTAGTGTGGTTCGGTGAGACCCATGAATTTACCGATGTGGTAATAAGTTGATTATTATCTCTTTCATTGCTACTTTGTCAGCAAACCTAAAGAGATGCTGCGTCTTTCTCATTGCTCATTATTTCGAAGTATTGGGAAAACTCAGTGATATCCTCACAAAATAATGGCAGTATTCATAGTAACTGAGCACTTTATTTCTTCCTGATGAACTAGATATTGAGACCAAATTTTAAGTATTCTCGAACATTTTATTGACATGCAATAAGAAATGCCAACGGTCATGGAGTTTGGTATATTCTCTAATCGAATCACTTAAAGAACAATCAACATGCATTTCAATGTAAATGAAATCATGAATTTTGTCACTTGCGTAAACGTCATGCTAATCAACGTCAATAAATTTCTATATCAAGATTCAGTGATTTATGTAAATTTTACACAACAATCTTTTACAGAAATACTTCAGATAAATTGCTTACTATTCCACCAAAATATTGAATGATCAAAACTTTATCAAGACTATACTATAGAAATATACATACAACTATAATCATTCATTCAAATTCACTCAAACAGAAACGGATACACATAAAATGACTTCATCATTAGTTTAAAATAATTTATCAGTTAAATGCTTGTACTTATTTCTAAGTGATTGTAATTCCTGTGAAACAACATACATTCTAGTTTGAAAATGAATGAAACATAGAGGATGGAAGATCTCTTTCATTCAAATCTACTTAGTGTTAGAAACAAAACACAGTACTAACACGTAAATTATTAGCCTAGACAATAGTAAAGCAAATCTCGATCACAATAAAAATAATGAATGAAATATATTAGTATTAATAATAGTAATAATAAATAGTAATAATAATAATAATAATACTAATAATAATCCACTAGTAACTTGCTAATAGTAAACACTACCTAAAATGATATACTCAGTTTAATTTGCGAAAGAAAACTAATTTCTAACATGGTTACATGGTTGTTTTTAATTATTCATTCATATGTGGGAAAGAGTATTATGTTAAAGATAATGAGTCAATGTAAACTAATGTGATAAATCGTAAATAGAACAACAGAACTAAACAGTAAGCGCTAAGAAAAGGAATTTTCATTTCAATGATTACTTGTTAGTCCTATTTATTGGTTTTCCTTTATGGATTATACCGTACATCAATCTGACGAATATAGAATAAATAATGGGACGTAACAAATATTTTAACAACAGAATGTATAAGAAGCGAAACATATAGAATGACAATGGAGAATTAAGTAAATGGAAGACAGAATCTAGAAGAGAAACAAACAACCACAATGAGATATATCAATATCACAAAAAAAGCACATTTTTCGAAAGAATCACAGTTCCATGCACGTATTGAATTTCCACGCATAAACGCCTGTTCGGACAAACGTATTTATGCAGTTTTGACAAAAATATGAACTTGTTTTTAGAAATACCTGAATGTTCATTAGAAAGACAGAGAGTGAAACTGTTCTCATGAAATCCCTTTGAAAAGTCAATCGTCTGAATCGAACTCATCGTAGGCACCATCAGATCTGGCCACAGAGATCACATTAGTAATTGGACTTGCGGCTAAAATGCATATGAAATTCACACGTTAAACATCACTGAACAAAATTAAGTTCAATAGGCTGAATTTCACTTTTAACGATAAAGAAAAATTATTATTATGATGATGATGAAATTAAGCTGTAAAATCCGGTGAATTCTAATCTTAATTATTTAGTTCATTGTTGAAATGAGTTCAATGATTGAAGTTTTATCAGACAGATTG